TATATATATATATATATATATATATATATATATATATATATATATATATATATATATATATATATATATATATACATAGGTAGGGAGAGATAAGAACGATAAGAACGATAAGAACGATAAGAGCCGTTAGATTTTTCATTTTTCATTTTTCATTTTTCCTGGGATTTCAAATACGAAGATGATTGGAATCCTAACCCGGATCAATTCGGGCAATTCCTATTGTATTCTTGTTGCCTCTTACAGAGCTTCTTGAAGGGCGAGACGCAAATAATGGCGGACGAAGCGTTCCGCTATGCTATACAAAACTACTACGACATATTCTTAACATCGGACAGAGTAATGCAAATGGTACAAAGCGGCGCCTGCTCGCAGCTCGATTTTCGCGAAGTATTCAAGAAGAACATCGAAATACGCGTTCGAAGGCTTCCGGAAATGAACGGACTGAGCAAAGAGACTGTGCTTACGTCCTGGCTGGCCAAGTTCGATTGTATTATGAAAGGCACGGGCGACGAGGAGATGAAAAGGCCCTCCAGGATGCAACAGCAGTCTCTGATCTCGGAGATGATATTGTCGAAGGAGCAGCTGTACGACATGTTCCAGCAAATCCTCGGCATCAAGAAATTCGAGCATCAGCTTCTGTTCAGCGCTCTCCTGCTGGATTCGGCCGACGAACAGGCTGCCGCCATTCGACGAGAGCTGGACGGTCGGCTTCAAAAGGTCAACGAAATGGAAAAGGTACGTTGAAGTTTGCTCGGTTAGGCCTTTCTCTCGGGTTCACTGACCCTCGACGCGACGCTTTTCCTCCCCAGAATCGCAAACTGATGCCCAAGTTGCTCCTAAAAGAGATGGAGTCGCTTTACATCGAGGAGCTGAAATCGTCGATTAATCTGCTGATGGCTAATCTGGAGTCACTGCCGGTGTCGAAGGGTTCGATCGACGGGAAATACGGCTTACAGAAGTTGAAGCGTTACAATAACCGCCGCGAGCGTTCCCGCTGCCGCGGCCAGGGCTCGCTCTCGAAATTGGAGAGCGATTCCGCCGACACTGAACTTCAACTGACCAAAATGGACGTAGGGCTGTCCTTCCAACTGGCTGTGGTCGTGATCGAAGTCAGAGGCCTCAAGAGTTTGCCGGCTAATAAAATAGTTTATTGCACGATGGAAGTCGAGGGCAGCAAGAAACTGCAAACGGACATGGCGGAGGCATCGAAGCCGATGTGAGTAAAAGAATTCTTCTCCGACGAAGCTCGGCGAAACTCGACGAAACTCGACGAAACTCGACGAAACTCGGCGAAACCGATTTTCAGGTGGGACACCCAGGGTGATTTTACAACCACGTATCCGCTACCAGTGGTCAAGGTTCGACTGTACACCGAAAATTCAGCAATGTTGGCGCTAGAGGACAAGGAATTGGGCAAGGTGATCATACGGCCTACGCCGTTTGCCTCGAAACAACCGGAATGGTATCGAATGGTGGTCCCGAAGAATTGTCCTGACCAAGATCTTCGAATAAGGATCAGTTGCCGGATGGATAAACCGTTCAACATGAAACACTGCGGTTACCTTTACGCGATAGGCAAGTCCGTCTGGAAAAAGTGGAAGAAACGTTATCACGTGTTGGTTCAGGTCTCGCAGTACACGTTCGCGATGTGCTCGTACAAAGAGAAAAGAAGCGACCCTTCGGAAATGATGCAACTCGACGGTTACACGGTCGATTACACCACACCGGTTTCCGCCAATATCATGTTTGGCGCCAACTTGGACGGCGGGAGGTAACCGCGATTCGACTGATCAAACTTCTTTCAGACGATTCTTTAAACTATCCGGACATTATTATTCTCTCTCGCCTGGGAATTTCGATGTCGAATTAGGAATGCTTTCTATCCGGCAGGTACTATTTCAACGCTGTTCGGGACGGCGATACTATAGTGTTCGCCTCGGACGACGAGAACGAGTGTCAAACATGGGTGATGGTTATGTACAGAGCGACCGGTCAGTCGCACAAACCCACCCCTCAAGTTTCCGTCGTGGACAAAAATTCCGGCACGAATAAGCTACAAGGCGACGCCGATAGAGCGAAAAAGCATGGAATGGAGGATTACATTAGCGCGGATCCTTGCAAATTCGATCACCACGGCCTTTTCAAATTTCTCCAAAATTTGATCTTGGATTATCGACTAAACGATCCGTATTGTTCTCTAGGTTGGTTCTCCCCCGGTCAATTGTTCGTCTTGGACGAGTATTCCGCTAGGTAGGTAACCTCTACTAGCAGCTAGGAGATACCACTCCGGCTAGGATATACTCTCTGTATCCGCGTTGTCCACGCGTGTGTTACACAGGTACGGCGTACGAGGATGCTTTCGACATTTATGTTACTTGCACGATCTGCTCGACCGAATCGACCGAGGGCTCATGATAGATCCGACACTCGTACACTTTTGCTTCGCCTTTTGCGCTACTCACGTATACGGGAACAGAGCCGACAGCGTGGGATCCATCACTTACGAGGAAAAGGAGAAATTCCAAGAAATTAAGGAGAGGCTAAGGCAGATTCTAGAAAATCAAATCACCAATTTCAGGTAACACTGTTCGATCGTCCATTTATGTGCGCGTAGATGACACGAGTTTACAGGTTTGCTTGCTCGAAAGCATTCTGCTTATTCTGTTAATCGCACATCTACACAACTACGATAAATATCAATGTACCGCGATCTTTGGAAATCGAACAACAGGTACAGTTTTCCGTTCGGTCGACCGGAGGGTGCGTTAAAGGCTACTTTGTCGCTTCTGGAACGAGTCATGATGAAGGATGGCGTCACCCCGGTGGCTCCGGAAGAAGTGAAAAGTTTGATCAAGAATTGTCTGGAAACCGCGGCTCTGGTCAATTACACGAAACTCTCCGCCGAAGCAAAAATCGAGGACGACTTGAGCAGCGATGTATGCGTTCCTCCTAGTAAGAAACTCGAAGATCTTATACATCTTTCTGAAATGTGCGTGGATTTACTTCAACAAAACGGAGAGCATTACTCGGAGGTATTAGTTGGATTTCTAGAACTTCAAATTATTTTGTGCCGAATTCTCGAGATGAACGCGAACCTTTCGATAGCCTTTGCTTCGAGCTTGTTTAAGAACCAATTTTTTCGTCTAAATTTGTCGTTTCTCGAGGATTCTTCGCTCAGGGTGACGCACCCATCGCCCTGAGTTTGAGAAAATCTGCCCTCCGTACATGTGTGACGTCCAATATTTTCACGATCCGCTCCTACTACACTGTACCACAGGCGTTCGCCTGGTTTAGCGAGCTTATGGTGGAGCACGCCGAGATCTTCTGGTCCTTGTTCGCCGAAGATATGAACAAGGTTCTCGTCGAACAGCCGCCGGACACGTGGGACAGCTTTCGGCTGTTTAAAATCCTGAACGATTACTTGAGGGAGGACGGTGAGTTTCACAGCGAGGAAAACAAACGCACCGAGTATCTCTCCGTTTCAACTGAAATGCGCTCACCTTTCGCATTTTCTTTTCCTTCCGCTCGCAGACAACTTGAAGAACGGTAGGTTTCATCAACATCTGCGCGACACTTTTGCTCCACTGGTCGTACGTTACGTGGATTTGATGGAGACGTCGATCGCCCAATCGATTCAAAAGGGATTCGAGAAGGAACGCTGGGAAATAAAAGGGAACGGATGTGCCACGTCGGAGGAGCTCTTTTGGAAATTGGATGCTCTGCAATCTTTCATTCGCGATCTGCACTGGCCGGATCAGGAATTTCGCCAACATTTGGAACAGAGACTAACTTTGATGGCTTGCGATATGATCGAATCTTGTATTCAACGAACGGACGCCGCTTTCCAACAATGGTTGAAGAAAGGCGTAACCTTTACTTCCACGGATTACATTATTCCATCGGAAATGTGCGCGATGGTGAACGTTATTTTGGACGCGAAGAAGCAAAACTTGTGTCTATGTACCATTGACGGCGTCGACGTGGTAAGTCGAATTTCGAATCCTCCCGAGCATATAGGCGAATAACGAATAACGATTCTCGCGAAATGGTTCGCTTTCAGCACAACTATCACGCGAAAATCGACGATCTGATCGAGAAAACCTCAGCTGCTATGACTCAAGGCATGATCAATAAACTGATTACGGTGTTGGAAACGACGTTGTCTAAACTATCTCGTTACGACGAAGGATCTTTTATAGGTTCCATTCTTAGCTTCACGGTAATCGACTTTTCTCTTGCATAACGGGGCGCGACGCGCGAGGCGGCGCGCTACTCGACGAATACGGTGCGCGCGATCCATCGTAAAAAATGTTTACTTTTAGAAGGTATCGGGAAGCGGGAAAGAGATGGGACAGGCCTACATCAGTTTCACGAGAAACTGTATGGATCAAATTCGTGGCAAAGTTATGGACGATTTATGGATTCTGACATGTTTCGAGGTAAGACGCGATACATCGCATTTCTTTCCTGTCGCCGGCTAAAACGGCTTCGTGTTCTCCTTCGATTGTCGCAGCAATGGTACGCCGCGCAGATTCAGATGCTGTGCAGTTGGCTGATGGAAAGACCCGAATGCAGCTTACATTTGTATCAATGTACCTGTCTCGCCCATATCGTGAAAAAGATTTACTCCGACTTTGAGCTTCAAGGTGTTACGGAAGAAAAGCTCAATTCGGAATCATATCAGGTTATATCTAAGAGGATGCAAACAGAAGAAGCGACTTGTGCCTTAACCATGAGCGCTCAAAACGAAGAGTGAGTATTCGATCGAGTAAACCTCGCTCTCCCAACGCTCTCTTCGATCGGCAATGATTTCTCACTGGTTTCTCTCTCCGATGCTCGTTACAGGGGTCTTTCGGAGAATGGCAACGACGACGAGGAGCGCCCGAAGACAAAGGTAACGATCGTCGAAAATGTCGCCGGCGAAGATGCGAATTACGTTGCCAATATCAGCAATGTTACATCGAACGTCGTGGGAAAAGTTGGAAGCATGTTCGGCAAAGGAATCGGTGGTCTTTCTACCAAATTCAGTGGAGGCAGTTGGTTCTAATTACTGTAATTATTATTACCATATTATCGTTGTTACCGTCATCGTCAACGTCATCGTGATCGGAATCGTCATGATCATCCTCACTGGTATTGTCGTCATCGTCGAAACGATTATCGATATTATTATTATTATTATTATTATTATTATTATTATTATTGTTATTATTGTTGTTGTTATTATTATTATTATTATTATTATTATTATTATTATTATTATTATTATTATTATTATTATTATTATTATTATTATTACTACTACTACTACTACTACTACTACTACTACTACTACTACTACTACTATTTCTATTATTACTATAATTATTATCTTTATCTTAATTCTCATCGTCATCGTCACTATCATGACCATTATTACAGGTATTATTGTTACCGCTGTTGTTTTTATCGTTATCCATATCCATATCTTTATTATCACTATCGTTACGAGAGCACTTTCATAATAGTTCTGCGTTTGA